ACCACGAAACAGGCTTGTAGGGATGAACTTGTAGTTTACTTGTCTTTTTCCTCCCACAATATTTATATATATATATATATAAATATGTATATGAAGATGGATAGGGTTTGAGGTTTTTCCCATGAAAGGGCCGATCATCATTTCTAAAAACGAATCTCTTTCTTTTTTACAAGGAGCATTGGTTGCCTTCTCATTTAATGGCGTTCGAGACCAGCATTTTTAAGCATTTCTGATCAAGGCGCTTTTGGCCATGGTCTCCTTATCCTTAGGCAAGCTCTTGGAACTCGCTCCACATAAAAAAGTGTAAATTATATTTTCCCATGGCAACGTTGTTTACCTATTTAATCCTAATTCGAGAAAATTGCTTGCGTGACATCTTGTGCGAGATTTCAGATGGAATCTTAAATTGAGTGACGTCCATGACTTTCAGTGCTGTCCCAAAATTGAACAATTTTTTTTTCGCGCAATCACCATAAATTACAGCTTGATTGAATTTGTGTTCACTTTTGAACGTGAATGACCCTAAAAACAACGCGAGAACAATATGCATATATTCTGCCTCCTTTATTCTATCACTATCATGGTGTTCTAACGGTCTATAAACAGACAGTTTTACAGACAATGTATTAGAGACTCATTTTTGATATGGAGGAATCCTTCGGTAGAGGTTACATACCAAAACAGTTTTAATTGTAGCCGAATGATTGAAAAACTTTGCCCGTTTTTTATAACTTAAACCATCACAAGAAAAGTGATAAAAGAAAAAGGATAGAAAGAATGAAGAAGAAAATTACCTCTTCAATCTCAAGTAAGATCTGAACTAAATAAAAGTACGGAATGTATGATTAAATTCTGGTGCAAAAAAATGTGATCTATGTTGAGCGATCTATTAGTCTTAAGTATTCAGCATTTTCCCAAAATAACCTTGAGCTACATTTGAATTCTCCATTTTTTTCAGGTTCACCGCTTGCTTTTATTATCTGCGTACTGCTGGTTTTTGTTGTAATATATTTTATGTGCTGCCCAAGCAAACAAAGTAAGTATGCTCCTTGCTAATTCCAGAAAAAATAGTCATGAAGATGAATAAGTCAAAATTTTGTCCTGCTGATAATGCTGGTGTTTCATTTGTTGATTTTCCTCCTCTTTCAGAACTCTTTTGGCTTATTAATGTCACTCCTTTCTCAAATAGCTACTTCTTCGCAAGCGCACATAAGGCAAAGCACGCAGTTATGGTCATACGATCATTTTTTCACGCGCTTTTAATCGTGGAACAGTGTCATTATGCAGTACATGTATAAATGATCACTTTCCAAAATCGGTCGGATACCTATGATTTCCCAGACATTACCTAAAAGTCCAAGGCTGCAAAACTTTGATATTTCAAAATTTAGTCTTGAGAAATGTGCCTGACACAGTCTTTACCAGAGTGGACAGACTTGAACCGGTTTATTTTTTCCTGTCATGATCGTCAAATGGCTACTCCACACGTATCTGAGAACTGTTAGTAACTTCGCAAATCTTCGATATGAATAACTTAGAGCGTTTATTCAAAATTAGTTCAATAGTAGAAAATGAGACGTATGATGGGTGATAGTTGCAATAAGTGATATCGGCTTACATCACCCTGTCTATACAACTGTAAAATATATTTTTTTAAACAATATGACTGATCTCCTTCTGCAAATGATTACAGTTACATTGTAAGTATGCCGAGGTGGTAATGTCTTTTATTACACATAACACGAGAATTTTATTCCATAAAGCTCATTTGTAGA